CCACTGTGGCAGACGCAGCAGGTGTGCTCTGCTGCACCTTTTGCCGCTCCCCCCTCGTCGTTGTCGGCAACTCTCATGCATGCGCAAACACGGCTTGTGTCACTGCTGCACTGCGCGGCTCTGCTCACAGGGAGGTGTTGCCGTTGTGGCAGACAAAGCAGGTGTGCTCTGCCTCCGCCTGTTGCCACCCCTCCTGCTGGCTGGCAGCTCCTGCACATGCGGCCTGGCTCAAAGCCACGTGACTTGGTGCTCAGCTCGGTGCTGCCACTGGTGCCCCAGCAATGAGGCAGGCAGGTGGCTTGGGAAGCGGCTCAAGGCGCTGAAGGCTGCATGCAAAGGGGCCGGCTGCATGCAGCCCATGGGATGTGTAGAAGCTATTTTATGTTTAGCTAGAAGCCATTTTGGCACGTAAACCAAAGTGAACTTTGTGTCACCCCGTAAAAAAGGCCTACAGGATGGTCTATTGGTATGTGTTAATTGGGCTGGTTAGGACAGAAGATGTACTCCCTCATACCTGTCCGCCATCTTGTTGATAAGGCTTTGTTTTTCCAAATTTAATTGAGAATTTCTGTAATTGGATGCCCTGACGTCAGACTGTTTGGCTAAGGGTATAAAAATACTAGAATTAATTGTATTAGCAGCCTTACTGGGCCCGGCTCTGCTGTGACCACGTTTGGCTCATGCTGTGCTTTATTAATTAATAAAGCTGTTTGTTAGCTGCCTAAACACAAAAAAGCGTGTTTTTGCTTCAACAGATGCATGTTTAGTAGCCCTGATATAGAGCTTCCTTAAAACTGAAATACACACCTGGAAAAGTAAAAAAACAGATCGACACAGCCAAAAGAGTACCCAGACACGAACTACTTCAAGACAGGCCCAGAAGAGAAAACAACAGACTTCTTAAACCCCTCCAACACATTATCAACAATCTACAACCTATCCTGGAAAATTTCCCCCAAGGTCTCTGAGAGCGAGGGGTAAGGCCAATTCTCGCCTACAGACAACTGCCTAACCTAAAATTCTTTCCAGTAACCATACAACACACCTCCATCATAATAATCCAGGAACCCACCCCTGCAATCAACCGTGATGCCAACTCTGCCCACACATCTACGCTAGCTGGCAAGGCTTCCCCTGTCCCACTACGTCTGGCACTGGGCCAAGGGTTAAGGGTTTGGAGCCGAGAGGTCACTTACCTGGGCCAGTGGAAGGCAAGATGGCAAGCCCCATCTCCAGCTAGCTACTCCCTTGGTGATGCAGTTGTCCCCGGTGGTCACTCTGCATTAAACCTGGCCCCTGCACTCGATGACCAGAGTGGTGATTGTGAGTATAGCATCCCTCCACTCAGCCCCCTCTCTTTCCATGCTATAGAAAACAATCAAATTCAAGGGCATCCCATTTTCTTTGGTCTTGCTTTTAAGTTAGGATTAGAGGAAACTGCATACCAAATTTGGTGGTCAAGCTCTTACCATTTAGTTCTTGAACAAATGGACAGAGACAGACTCACAGACATATGCACAAATCTCTAAAATATATATATATAGAGAGAGAGAGATGTAAGCCTCAACTTGGCAGAGGTAAGTACCCATGTAGCAGATATATAAACTCTCTTGTCCAGATCTCCAAAGGTATTTAGGTGTTTAATTTCCAGAAATTAGGCATTTGACAATCTGGTCTAGGAAACTACTTACCTATTTTACAGACAGGGGCTATGTCTAGACTGCAGGCTTCTTTCAGAAGAAGCTTTTCTGGAAGAGATCGTCCCAAAAAACTTCTTCTGAAAGAGAGCATACACACTGTCAAAGCGCCTTAAAAAAGCAATCTGCTTTTTCGAAAGAGAGCATCCACAGTAAATGCAAGATAGCATCCATTCAAGATGTGATTACTATGGTTGGAGTAGCCACCAGGGTACCTGTGCTTTTTCCTCTTTCCTCTTCTTTCAAAAGAACTCCCTCTTTCCTGTCCACACACGCCTTTTTCCAAAAGAGCTCTTTCGGAAAAAAGTTTCTTCCTTGTAGAAAGAGGTGTACCAATGTTGGAAAAATCCCTCTGTTCTTTCGATTTTTTCTGAAAGAATGAAAATGCAGTGTGAACGTAAGTGAAGTTTTTTCGGAAAAATGGCCATTTTTCCAAAAAAACTTTATCAGGTAGACATGGCCTGGATGTGAGACTTGTCTACATATAAACTACTTAGGGTGTACTGCTGTAGAAATTAAGTTAAGATTTTACCTACGCTGTGAGGGGTTCCTGTTGGTGTAGGTCAGTGGTCTCCAACCATTTGGAGCTGCCAGGGGGTGGGGCCATTGGCCCGCTGGGTGCCAGAGGGTGGGAACACTCGTGCGCCCGGGGGCAGGGCCGCGTATACACCACACCCCCATGAGCCACTTGCCTGGGGTCAGCAACCCTATGTGTCGTGTGGCCATGGGCGGAGCCGCCCATTCGCCGCAAGCCTGGGGCCGGCGCTCTCCAGAGCCACGCAGCCAGGGCCAGCACCCCCCATAGCTGCGCGCCCAGAACCGGCACCCCCCCATAGCTGCGCGCCCATGCGCTGTGCGCCCGGGGCCAGCGCCCCCCCATGCACGCATCATGCGCCCAGGGCTGGCGCCGCATATGTGCGGTGCGCCTGAGGTCAGCATCGCGCATGCGCCACGCGCCCAGGGGCAGGGACAGCCTACTTTAGTGGGTGCAGAAGTAAGACCTTATTTAATTATTTTAATCACTAGCATTATTTTATATGAAGCAATAACCATATAAAATATTATAATATACTTTGCTGCTACATGTGAAAATTGTGACTGTTCCATCTACTACATATCTGAGATAGAAAAACTTTAAAAACAACAAATAATCTAATAGCACCTTAAAAACTGACAAAATATGCAGGTGGTGGTATGAGATTTCGTGGGCATCTGAAGAAGTGGGTTGTGCCCATGAAAGCTCATGATACCATCTACATGTTTTGTTTGTCTTTAAGGTGCTACTATTCATTGTTTTTTAAGTTTTTCTAGTTACAGGCTAACTTAGCTACCTCTCTGAAATATTTGAGATAGTTTGTCTGTATGTCTGTTGAAGAACTCCTCCTAAATGGTAAGAGCTAGGATATACCGTTTCCTCTTATATCTTAAAACACGGTAAGGGGTTTGCTTGTGCCAGGAAAATGAGACATGCCTAGAATGGGATTGCTTCTCATAAAACCATACAGAAAAGAAACAGAATCACCAGGCAGGTGAAAGGGGCTGTGCCTGTCTGGGACTGACTCAGCCCCAAGCCTCCCACCTCCCAGGCACCCTTTGGGAAGGGAAGAGAAGGGGGACTAAAACCCCTCCTCCCCCCCATTCATATGGGAAGTAGGGATGTTAAATTTAGATTAATTAACTAATTGAATAGTCAATTGGACCTCCATCAACTATTTGATTAGTCTATAAAGGTGCCTCTGAATTGTAGCAAGAACCCTGCCTGGCTCTTGCTACAGTTCAAAAGTGGAAGCCCTGGAGGGAGCCCCACGCTCCCCGCAGCGCTTCAGCCTTTGAAATGTATAAGAGCCCCAGTGGAGTGAATCCCCTGTGCTACAACAAACACTTGAACTCAGTTCTCCCCCTTTCAGGGGCAGGGAGGTGACCTAGCCACCAAGAGTTATTCTAGGTGGAGGTGCTTTCAGTCTCCCCTACTGAACTCATTACATCTTGTATAAAAAACTAAATATTCATGGAAGCAGGAACTGGAACTAGTGTCATCGTCCCCATTCCCTTGAGTTCCCCAGTTAGAAGGCTAGAATCATTCCCCTGCCTCTTCTCTCTTTGGCTCAACAAATATTTAGGTATTTAATACAAAGTGGAACAGCTTCCATAGGAGATTATTAGAACCCCCATCCTGGGGGTTAGGGCATTCACCTGGCATGGGGAAAGACCTTGGTTTTTAAGTCATTGCTCAGCTCAGAGAATCAAACTGAGTCTCTCCTATCCACACGAATAGCTTATCCAGGTTGGGTATAACTGGCACACCGCAGTTACCAGCGCCTGTTCTTCTGGGGTTTGGAGAATGGAAGCTCATTGTAAACCTATCCCTTTGTCCCAGAAGGCGGGTGTTAAAATGTCCCAAAACGAAACAGCATTAGGCCCGAAGTGGCTTTTCCCCACTTCTGGATTCATTGCAACCCAGCGCCTGTAAAGCAGGCAGGTTTTCACGGGGAAAGGCGGGCTTCGGAGATATGGCCACGTCAGCATCCTCCTCACTTCCCCCACAGCCCAAAACAAGCTGTACCTGACACGCGCCTTGGCCCGTGGGTCTTGCGGGGACCCAGCGC